CTCTGCATTGAGATGATCGATAGGCGACATTTTATAGCAACCCGTGATCGTGTGGAGCGCAGCGTTTTGTGCTGACTGGAAATTAGGTAGTCAAATGACCTGGCAACTCGGTTCTTAGTCGGGCCTGTCGGGTCGTTGGGGCTTCTCCATAATGTATTCCTCATTTTCCGTTCACGTTTGAGAAAATACAGTCCTCCTCCCGAAGGTAGCCCGAGGCCTGTAAAGCAGATCACTGGTGGCATGCGACTCCGCATTTTGCTGCGGGATCACGGCGGAAGTCTATCCCTCATATTACACAACTTGATGAGCAAGCCAGTGTTATTGTGCCCACTGCACGGCACAGCAATCGGAAGAATTATGCGGCGGCTTTTAATTTCGATTTCCTGATGCCTTGAGGCCATCAAACTCCCACTCCGCGTGCGCAGCAGAACCTTCAACTCTGGAGCGCGTACTGAATTGCCCCTACTAAGGCATACTGGCGCAATGTCGGTTGAAGGCTGATCCGATGGACAAGTTAATGCTTAGGCCACTAATACGGCTGCCGCAACTGCTGCTGCTATAAATAAAACTAGCACTGTAAAGGGTTGTTTATCCTAACGGCATTGCAAACTCGTACAACTATGATTATCTATTATGCCACCACCACTTCTCATAAAACTACAACTACTCCAAGGTATATTGCCAGTACTACTGATAAGACTACTACTAGTAGCAGAACCACCGCCACTGGTAATCCAATCCCTACTAATAATATAGTACTATTATTGATGCTGTTGCTAGTACTACCGACAACTGATCTACGTCTACGAATGTTATTACGACTAGAACTGACAATATATCCACCACTACAATAGACGGAATGACGGCAATTAATGGGACTGCCACGTGTACTACTATTCCGAGGGCTATCACTACCGGCAATGGAATTACTACCAATAATATTAATACCACTCTCAGAAGTAATTGTTCTGTTGTAACTATTAAGACTACGACTACTCCTACCATGGCTACTATTACGCATACAACTAACACGTCTACTGTCACTTAAAGTATTACTGGTGTTGCAGATTGCACTACTACTGCCAAGACCAGAAAAACCAGAACAACTGATAACCGTACCAATACCACATGCACTGTTGCTCTGACTGATACCACCGCCGATGCAAATACTGTTGGTAGTAGTCCAGCGACCGAAACTTCTAGAAATAAAATTTGATGCAGGAACACTGTGAAACCCTCCACTCAGTATTATTTTTTAGTCGTCAGCTTGTTTTCAGAGGACGCTGAGCAATCACCCTCAGTTTTCCCTCGCCTT